GCCAGGGCTAACGTCAGTCCGTCTGCAGCGGCCGGGGCTAACGTCAGCCCGTCTGCAGCGGCCAGGGCTAACGTCAGCCCGTCTGCAGCGGCCAGGGCTAACGTTAGCCCGTCTGCAGCAGCCCTCTCTCTGCATAGCCGTGTTTGAAGATCCGCTGACTCAGAGTTTTTTGTTTAATTGGGCAAAATGTTCATTTGATTTGTGTTTATCTGACTGTGTTCATTATTATTCCTCCACTAAATGAAAAAGTTTTAATATATTAATATCTAGAGACTATTAGTAACAGGAGGAGAAATGCAGCTCCAGACGAGCAGAGCGTGTGGTGATGTCATCAGTACGCTTCTGCTCCAAGTGACCCATATTTATGCTGCATGCTCCCGTTCTCAGTCCACAGTTTTCTGTCTTCTTCTCAAGAACAATCTTGGCGAGAACACGAGTCACGTTCTTGTGAGTTGAGAAACGCCCTTAATGTTCATGTTAACGTTTCTTCTATCCCCGTCGTTAGCAGGAATTATTCCTCCTCCGGTTTAGTCCGTCTGTCACGATGATGCTGCATTTAAAAAAGGAGGCGTCTGAAATAAATCTTCCCTTAAATTAAATCAGATTTGCTTCTGGATCTGATCAGCTGATGCGCTAAAGCTAATCGAGAGCCTCTTTGGTGTTAAAGTCAACAGAAGAAGAAACGTTTCTACTGACAGACACCTTTAAAAATGAAGCCAGAGGAAACAGAAAAGAAAAAGTAGCATCTATGGAGATCAGCTGATAATCCAGATCCAGACTGAAAGATCTTCATCCACAACATCTCTGCATTAAAAGTTGCTGTCAGAGACGTCAGGACAGAAGCTGGAACCTGAAAAACCATCTCTTAGTGTTGATAACACTAATGTGACGAAGCGGGAAGACAAAAGGCTGTGATCCACCGAGATAAAATCCAACAGAGCCTGTTTGCCTTCAGTGAGCTTCTAATTATAACCACCACACCAGGAGCCGCAACCACTCATTTATAGGCAAACTTTAAACACATGAATGTATAAATCAGACCTAGAGAGATGTCTGCAGATCAGGATCAAACTAAACTTTTTTTACCGATACAGTAAAACTTTAGTTTCACCTTCTTATCTGATGAGATACTCAGAGCAATGAGCTCCAGGAATACAGAACGGCTAACAGCTAAATCCATAATAAAGAGTCAACATCAGAAGTCTGAACAGCTTTAAATGAACCTCTTATACCCGGGGGGCCCGGTTCAGGGTCCAACTCACACCTTCTCATGTTTATAGAAATGGCCTAAACACAGTCACATGGTGTTTCATCCACACGCCTTTCAAATGGGGTTTAAAATTTCTAAACTTGTTTCAAAATTATTTTTTCACAAGTACTTTTTGTTTTGTAGCTGTGTAAACAAATAAAATTAGATTTAAGGGTAAACATTTTTCTTTTTTTTCTTCGTTTAATCACCTATAAATCAGACATGGTGACATTAAAAATAGTGATTCCACCTTAAAAATTTTCCTCAATGTCTTTCTGTCACACAAACACAAACAACTGTATTTCCAATTTATAGTTTGGGAGCTGAATTTGCTTTAAGTCATTTAATTTCAGGCAGAATTTGCTCCTCAGACCCTCAGGGCTTAATGAATTAGATGAATTTTGGCCAAACAGAGTAAATTAGTCATAGCGTAGAGGTAGGCGGTGGCGTTCTGAGGCAAACAGGTCTGACGTTAGCATCTCCATCAGCAGCCTGTGAATCACTGCAGATGTTTGGGATGCCTGGCCTTCCTGAGCTCCTCCTTCCTCACAAATCAATGCAGAGGTTCAGTTTGCTGCTGAATTCATATCAAACCGCCCCCAGATAAATGCTGCAGCTCAGAGGCCTGATCAATTAGCCAACAGCGGGGGGGTGGCGGAGCTCCAATAAAGCCTGATTATGAGCCCTGAGGGGCACGCAGCGCAAACGCTCAAACCCCTGTCACACCTTGACGATTTAGACCAGCGTATGCCTGAACTGATGTAGGGAAAATCTGGAAAAAAGGCTGGCATACGTTGGATAAGTTATGGGAATGTTATTGTATAAGTTATGAGGACGCTACAGTGCGTCAACATACATCGTATGGCAGCGTATGTTCATACGTGGGCCATAAGCTACAGGTAAGCTATCTGATTGTTTACATACGTTCACTGTCAGTTACTCATAAGTCGTGGCGTCCAGCTTATCCAGGCTTCCTACAGCATAAGGCAAGTTAAATTCAAGATTTTTTAAGACGTTTTAATGCCACTTGAAATAAAAATTTAAGACCAAATTAAAAAGAAACACACAAAAAACCTGCTTGCGACAACTTAACCCAAAGGTTTATTTTAACATAAACCACTGCACTGATGTTTCAAGTTTTGAAAAGCTTCCCATACAGGAAGAAAGCTAAAAACACACAAATGACAGATATATTTTAACAATTATTTAAAGGAATAGTACACCCAAACATGATTAGCCTTCATTTTCTACTCACCCCCATGCTGAACAACACTCTGGAGTACTTTTTTGATATCTCAAATGCAT